TTAAGATGGGCCTAAAAAATTTTCAAAGTGCTGCTGTTTTCAATGGATGAGATCCTCAGTTTTCTGGATTTTCTGGGTGGTGATTCTTTTCAGGTCTTTTTTCTGGTGATATATATAAGAAGTTACAGCAGATATACAAAGGGAAGCTCAGAAGCCTGCTGTCTAAATTCATCACCACTTGTTCCTGTAAGACAGATTTTGCAGGTTTACTGATAACTGGATAGCAGTATTTTAGGAATACAATTAAAATAAAAAACCAAGGTGTTGATTGGGGGTTGTATGACATTAAGAGCTTACACTTGAAGTCTGAGCGTAACAGCTCAAATTTAAAAACGCCTGCCTCCTGCATGTGTAACACCAACAGCAGCTTTCTATTTATTTTATTAACAGATGCAGCGAACAGGTACCAGTGAAGCTTACACTTGGTGTCACACCCTTAGGTACACCAAATTATTGGGAAGACGCAGGGTGTCATTACGCAAGGCTATCATCATTAATCCTAAGATTTCCCACCGTCTTATGATAAACATGTTATCTGTGCCCTGGAACATGAAATACATTATCATATAAAAGCAATTTCAAGGGGCTGGGGAGATGGCTCAGTTGAATAAGTGCTTGCCTGGCAAGCGCAAGGGCCTGAGTTCAATCCCTGGCTCCGGAAAAAAAAAAAAAAAAAAAAAAAAAAAGCAATTTCAGGTTGTTACATCAATACATGTGAGATTGCGCTCAACTCCTACAAAGACAGACTCTGCTGCTATAGGTGAGAGCACAAATCTGACCACCACTGATGCTACAGATGCAGCCTGGAACCTCACATATCCTCTAACCAGGAACATCTGGTGAAGAGAATAATCCCCAGAGTTAAAGAAGCAACAATAAAATGAAAATGTGTACCTTTTCTTTTTTGTGGAACCGGGGATTGAACTCAGGCCATTGTGCTTGCCAGGTGAGCGCTTACTCTACCGAGCCATCTCCCTGGCCCCTGAATGCATACTTTTTATTTTATTTTTTTTTATGTATTTAGTACAGGATCTACAGGGTCTCACTGTACAGATCAGACTCATCTGATCCTCTGGTTTCAGACTCCCAAGCACTGGGATTACAGGTGCGCACCACCCTGCCCAGTCTCAATTGTTGTCTCAGTGAACCCTGGGGGTGGGGCCGGCATGGCACGCCAGGGACTGAACCCTGTCCCTACATCTGTCTAAGCAGGTGCTTTAATCTGCTGAGTTATCTGGCCAGCCTTGTACTTTTTAAACACAGATGCGGGTGGTGGCACACACCTGTAATCCTAGCACTCAGGAGGCAGAGGCAAGATCATTGTGAGTTCAAGACCAACCTGAGCTATAAAAGTGAGCTCAAGGCCAGTCTGAACTGCATAGCAACACCTTGTCTTAAAAAGACAAAACAAAAACAAAAAAAACTTGTGATAATCTATGTAGTAATATGTATTAGTTTTACACATTTTGAGGGACATACCATTAAATATTAGTTTTTACAATTTTTTTTACTGAAGCACATATTACTATAATGAAGACTAAAACTAGAATATGTAACTGAAGTAGGCTTAGTTGGACAGTTTCTGTGTTGCAGGAGCAGCAAGACAAATTTGGATAGTTATTACCAAAACACATACAGACCCACACAGACTCTCTTTCTATATCACTCGTAGAGGAAAAGTGGTGTTTAAAAAAAAAATCCAACAAAATCAGGTGATGTGCTCATCTAAGCTGATGGCACTAACAGGGTCACCAGAAAGGAATGATGTCAAAGCATACTTGGGTCTTTAGATTTCTGAATCATCCTAGCCTAGTCAAAAATCTGTGTTAGTAACCTGGGTGAAGGCACATTTCCTGTATCTCAGGAGAACAATTTCTTTGGCAATATGTATACCTGATGATAAAATTCAAGATTCTACACCAGTGATGGCAAACCTTAACAAACAGCTGGCTGCAGCATGTGTGCTATAGGTTCACCACCACAATGCCATGAAAACAGAAAATCAGCAGTCTGGAATTTATAGTTACGGCTGGGATGGAGTGAGGCAGGTCACAGGGCTAACTCTTGGTCTTGGAGGCGGTCAGTGTGGACATTACAGGCTGAACAGACATCAATTTCTGAATGCTAAGTTGCAAGAATCCCCACTTTCCTTTCCTAAACAAGAGAGACCTGCATCTGGTTTACCAAGTCTTTTAACTCTAGCTAAGGACACAATGTACACCCTGTTTCCTTTGAAGCGCCTTCAGAGTAAAGTTCATTTCCTTGCTCCACTATGGAAGCGGAAGCAGTGGAACTTGTGTATCACAGCAGCAGATGGAACGACAGCACTCACTATGCTCCCTTTCTACACCTTTACATACAAATCTGTTCCTCTGAGGCCCATGTTACTCACTCAGTGTCTCTGTTATCACTACAGTATCTCTGCATCTACCTTCAATTCTATCTTAAAGATCTAAGTTCCATGGTCCAAAAATCCAGCCTGCTACTGGAAACCTTCATTTATATAGAGAGCAACTAAAATTCAAACTCTCAACTACTGCTGGTTGTATCTCTTCCTTACCAAGACCCTGTCTTCAAAAACAGATTTTTGTTTTGTTTGATTTATTTACTTATTTATTTAGTGTGTGTGTGGCCAGCTCAGCCCACCAGGGGGCGGGGCTGGCTGGCATGTGGTGCTGGGGATTGAACCGCAGTCCCTGTGCTTTCGCTTAGCTTGTTCTAAGTAGGTGCTTTAGACCACTGAGCCATCTCACCAGCCCCCCAAAACAGATTTTTGGAGACAAGGTCTCACTGTGTAGTTGAGAGTGGCCTTGAACATACTACATAGTCCAGGCTGGCCTTGGACTCTCAGCAATATTCCTGCTTCAGTCTCCTGAGTGCTAGAATTACAGGCATGTGCCTCAATATAAGACATTTGTTTTTTAAAGGCCTGGTGATGGAGCTCAGTGCGAAGACCTTGGGTTCAATCCCCAGTATCACAATAAAACAAAACAAAACAAAATTAATGCACTGCCATCTTTTGTATCAAACAAGGCAATGAAACAGTAGTGCTAAAATGGAACTAAGTTTAAAAGGATTTACATAGGATAAGTCACTTCAAATACAATGATATACCTGATACATTTCAGAGCTATTAATGAATACTCCAATATAAAAACTTAAGCCATCAAAGGAATAGAAAAAACTACAGATGACTAATGTATAGCCCATGTAAGAATAAGGAAGCAGGCAGAGACCATTAAAGGAGTAATAGACCATTTTGAAGCTAAAAAGACAAATGACAAAAATGTAAAATGGCAACATATCACAAAAGTTATTATTATTGGGGCCAAGGAGATGGCTCAGTGGAATAAGTGCTTCCCAGGCAAGCGCAAGGGCCTGAGTTCAACCCCCGGTTCCGCAAAAAAAAAAAAAAAAAAAAAGTTGTTATTATTATTACTATTATTTTGTGGCTGGCTCAGCCCAGGCAGGGCTGGCACAGCACTGTGGTGCCAGGGATTGAACTGCGTTCCATATACTTTGCCTAAGCAGGTGCTTTAGACCACTGAGCTATCTTGTTGGCCCTTTTTTTCTTTTTTGAGACAGAGTTTTGCTATGCAGTTGAGGATGGCCTTGAGCTCACTTTGTAGCCCAGGCTGGTCTCCTGAGTGCTGGGATCAAAGGCATGCACCACCACACCTGGTTAAAATAATCCTTATTCAATGCATAGGAATTATGAAACAGTTAACTAAAATTATACCACTAATAAAATGTTGTAAATATATATATATATATGTATATATATATAATTATTGGTTATGTTAAAGGGAACATGGTACTTTCAAATCAAACTATCATCATTTAAATGTCAAGTTCACAAGGATTTTCAGAACACAAGTGTTATAATGGAACAACAGAAAAGTAACCAAACATACCTGGTCCTTTTCAAGTGTAAGTATCTGATAGCCAGTTGTTCTATTACATGTTAGTTTTCCACTACTATCAAAAGAAGCCAAACGAACTCTAGGATAAAAAAACCCAAAAGCATGATATTTAGACCACACATTAACCAAGCTCTACTTGACTTTAATATTTTTATCATTCATATTTTCTTTTCAAACTGTAAATTGATTCCAGATCTACAAACCTGTGCTATGGTACATAATTAAAACATAAAAAATTTTAAGTGACTTTTAAAAACAATGCTGCAATTTGCAGAACATAAAGCTTAAAGTTTAATCTATGGCATCAAAATACAAATTCTGTAATCAGCACCCATCTGCAGAACATTTTTATCTTCCCAAACTGAAATTTCTGTATTCATTATACACTAATTCTCCATTTTCCCTTCCCCCAACCCTAGCAACTCAAGTTTCCTTTCAGTGGATTTGTCTACTTTATGTACCTCATAGGAGTAAAATCACGATTCTTTGTGCTTTTTTTCTGTATTTAGGGTAGGGTTTACAGGCTCTACAAGGTCTCACTACATAGATCGGACTCATAGCGATCCTCCTGTTTACAGCCTCCCAAGTGCTGGGATTACTGGCCACCATGCCCAGTCTCAACTGCCGACTCAGTGGCCCTGGAGGTGGGGCCGGCATGGCAGGCCACTGCGCTCTGCCTAAGCAGGCACTTTATAGTCAGCTGAGCTATCAGGCCAGCCCTATTTGTGCTTTTATGACATGCTTCTTTCAGTTAACTTAGTTTATTTTTCAACTTTTTGAATCAGGGTCTTACTCTCAGTTAGGCTGGCCTTGAACTTGTAGGGATCCTTCTGCCTCAGATCCCCGAATGCTGGGACTATACACATGTGCCACCATGCCTGGCTCTCATTCAAGGTAGCATGTGTTGGGATTTTTCCTGCCTTTTTAAGAATGAAAACGTTTGACTGCCTGTATATGCTGTGACACTTTGTTTATCCATTTATCTGTCAACGGACATACAGTTGTTTCTGCCCTTATCTACTACGAATGATTCTCCTATGAACGTCAACATGTAAGAATCTCTTTGAGTCCCTGCTATCAATTCCTTTGGGTATATATCCAGAGGAGGAATTGGTAGATCATACGTTAATGCTATGTTTGATTTTTTAGGAATGCATCATAACGTCTTCTACAGCAGCCACACCACTGCACATAGTCACCAGCAGTGCACAGTGGTTCTAATTATTCCACATCTTTACTAACACTTGTTTTGAAGAACAGCCGTCTTTATTTTTATTCTATTTTTTTGGGCAGAACCGGGGATTGAACTCAGGCCCTTGCACTTGCCAGGGAAGCGCTTATTGCACTGAGCCATCTCCCCGGCCCCCAAACAGCCGTCTTTAATAGGTGTGCAGTAGTATCTCAGGGTGGTTTTAATTCACATTTCCTAATGAGAGATACTGTAAATACATAAATACTTTTACGTATTTCTTAGACATTTGTGTATCTTGTTGGGGAAATTTTGCGCAAGTCCTTTTGCTCTTTTTATTTATTTTCTTGGTAGTGCTGACACCTAAATCCAGGGCCTCATATGTGCTGGGAAAGTTGCTCTACTATTGCCTTTGTTCACTTTTAAATAGGCTTTTTTTTCTTTCTTCTTTAACTCTCATTATATTATCCAGTAGGGTTGCAAACTGGTGGGCTCAAGCAATCTTTCTGCTTCAGCCTCTCAAACAGTTGAAACTATACATATAACTTTTTTTTTGTATTTCAGTAAGGGTCTACAGGGTCTCACTACGTAGATCGGACTCATAGTGATCCTCCTGTGTTCAGCCTTCCAAAGATGAGATTTAAAAATATAGATTTTTAGGATTTTTCTATGCATTTCATCTATCTTGAGTTCTTTTTTTGGTCTTTTTTGAGACAGGGTCTCATTATGCAGTTCAGGCTGGCCTTAAGCTCACTTTGTAGCCCAGGCTGGTCTTGAGCTCGTAATGATCCTCCTGCCTCTGCCTCCCAAGTGCTGGGACTACCTGGCCTAGCTATTTTAACTTCTATCACAACATGACTTGTAAATATTTTCTCTCATGCCAGCACTACCTTTTCAGTGCTGACAGTGTCTCTCAACAAAAAAAAAAAAAAACAAAAAAAAACTCTGGTACAAAATTTCCAGTTTGATGAGGTGCAGTTGTTGATGCCTATGCTTTTAGTGTTGTACCAAAGAAATAATTCTCAAATCAAATCTTATGAAGACTTTTGTTTTTTCAGTTTTGTAGTTTTAGCTCTTATATCACATTAAGTTCCACTCATTTTGGAGTTAATTTTTTGTAGACAGTATAAGGTAAGTATATGGTTTTATTTATTTAAATGTATTTAGTGCAGGGCCTACAGGGTCTCACTACACAGACCAGATTTGTAGTGATCCTTCTGTTTTCAGCCACCTCACCTAGTCTCAATCACCGTTTCAGCACGCCCTGGGGGCAGGGAGGCACAGCACACCAGGGATCAAACCCCATTCCCTGTGAGTACATGATTTTAAAATAATTTGTTTATAAGCTACTTTTCCATTTGTTGGACTATAGCATCCTTTCCAAATAAGACTGCTACATCAACTATAAGGTAAAGCTGGACATCTCAAATTCCAAAAGTTAAGAATAATGCTAGATGTGTTAACAGGTAAAGTACTTCGCCATATGTCGAGTTAGAATATTTGCTGGAAATACCAACAAGACAATAGATTCAAGCCTAGTATCAATCTTCTGGCATTCATATTCCAGTTTATCCATTTCTTTGACATAACTAGATCTATCTTTTGGGTTTTTTTTGATACCAGGGATTGAACTCAGGCCCTTGCACTTTCTAGACAGGCATTTATGCTGCTGAGCTTTCTCCCTGGCATAACTAGATCTCTTGACTTTATTTTTTGTTTATTTTTTTGGAACCAGGGATTGAACTCAGGCCCTTGCACTTGCCAGGCAAGTGCTTATTCTATTGAGCTACCTCCCTGGCCCCTCTTGACTTTATTAATAATATCATACATTTTACAGGAATTAAGCCTTATCAGTTCCTAGCTCATTTTAGCAATTTTAAAATGTATTTTTTTAAATTTTGAGACAGAGTTTCACTATGTAGCTCAGGCTGGCTTTGAATACACAGAAATCCTCCTGCCTTAGTCTCAGTGTTGGGGTCACACGTATGCACCCAGCTTTTCATTTGCATGTTCTCTATCCTACCAAAGTTCTATTTGTGGTATAAAAGACCAAGTTAAAATTTTCTTGTATTTCATCCGGAGGTAGTACAGCCAAGGAAATCTTACCCTACCGAAATGCTATGCTCCTTCGAGGCTGTAAACTGACAGATCCACTGCATGGCTGATTCAGTGTATTACGTTTAAAAATGATGTACCGATTGGTGTAAGTTACAAGTAGGTCAAAGCCAAAGTTAAAACCTGTCCACCGCCAGCAGTACTAAAAGATACAAAAGAGAGATTCAGTTTAGTTTACCATGTTAGTTAAGTTGAAAATAAAGAGCGGAAAATGTTTTTTTCTTTTTTTAAAAATTAATTTCATTGAGAAAAAAATTGCAATGTGACAGCTTCAAAACAGGTTGGTAGGTGTTACAACAATCAATGCATTGCATATTGTTGTCTTTGTAGTAGTCACTCACAGAACAAGATGCAGGCATGATATCCTGTTCAAACACTATTAGTACAGATCTTTCTTTATTGAATTAAAAGAAAGTAGCTATATATCTTTTTTCTCTAACTCAATCCAAGCATTTACCAACAAAACTATATACCTAAGCTGGAAAAGCAATCTTGATTAGAATTCATCAAGCTCTCCACACTGTTTCATTGCAAGTATAGCTAGCTGAAGGTAGTAAGAATCCATTAACAAGCCAGGTGTGGTAGCATATGCCTACAATCCCAGCACTGGGGAGGCTGAGGCAGGAGGATTGTTGAGAGTTCAAGACTGGCCTGGGCTACAAAGTGAGCTCAAGGTCAGTCTGAACTGTACAGTGAGACCTTATCTCAAAGAAAAACAAACAACCCCATTAACATTCTCCTCCCTCCCTTCCTTCTTTTCTATTGGGAATCAAACTCTGGACCTTTAGCTTGCCAGGTAGGTGCTGAGCCACTGAGTTATATCCCTAGCCCTCAACTTACTTTAAAAACAGTTGAAAATACCTTAAGTGGGGCTGGTGAGATGGCTCAGTGGTCTAAAGCACCTACTTAGAACAAGCTTAGCAAAGCACAGGGACC